AAACTCCTCGAAGATAGAAGTCGACAGTCCCTTGGTCATCACATCGGCGAACTGTTGTGCAGTCCGCACGTGGAGAACCCGAATACGTCCAAGGGCCACCTGCTCGCGCACAAAGTGAATGTCCAGCTCAATGTGTTTAGCCCGGCGATAATGAACGGGGTTGGCGGAGAGGTACACCGCAGAAACGTTGTCGCAGTAGACAACCGTAGCCTGGGAGACGTCGTGATGCAGCTCCTGAAGTAACTGTCGTTGCCAGGTGTACTCAGCCTCCGCGCTGGAGCGCGAAACCGTGGGTTGTCGCTTGGACGACCACGAGACAAGTGAAGGACCGAGGTAGACGCAGTAGCCAGAGGTGGACCGACGAGTGTCTGGGCAGCCAGCCCAGTCCGCGTCGGAGTAGGCCATCATCTCCAGAGAAGTGGACGCCGTGAGTGTGAGCCCAAGGGTCATCGTGCCGCGGATGTAACGGAGGATCCGCTTCACGAGAGTCCAATGGGAGTCACGAGGGGCGTGCATGTGGAGACACACCTGCTGAACAACATACTGAAGATCCGGTCTGGTGAGAGTCAGATACTGAAGAGCACCGACGATAGACCGGTAGAAAGGAGCATCCGACGCTGGCGAGCCCTCAAGAGCAGAAACTTGGCCTTCGTGTCAACATGAGTATCAACATGGTGACAATTGAGCATGCCAGCACACTCAAGAAGCTCGTGCGCATACTTCTGCTGATGAAGAAAGAAACCGTCCGGGCGCCGAACGACTTCAATGCCAAGGAAATAATGTAGAGCACCTAAGTCCTTGATGGCAAACTCGTCACGCAGCCGAAGAGTAATCTGCTGAAGAAGTGCCACGGAGGAGGCCGTCAGGATGATGTCGTCGACGTAGAGAAGCAAATATGCAGTCGTGTCACCATGGTGATAGACAAACAATAAGGCATCCGATCGAGTGACGCTGAAACCCAGTGTCTGAAGAAACCCGGCGATCCGCTGGTACCAGGCGCGGGGTGCTTGCTTGAGCCCATAGAGAGATCAGGACAGCAGACACACATGGCCAGGAAGGGATGCGTAGACGAAACTGGTGGGCTGCTCACAATACACCTGCTCCTCAAGATGGCCGTGGAGGAAGGCGTTGGGGACATCCATCTGATGAACAGGCCAGCCTCGGGACACCGCGAGCTGGAGGACGGTGCGAATCATGCCCGGTTTGACAACCGGGGCAAACGTCTCAGTGAAGTCAACTCCAACGCGTTGGCGGAAACCATGAACCACCCAGTGAGCCTTGTAGCGCTCAAGGGTACCATCCGAGCGGGTCTTGTGGCAAAAAACCCACTTGTCGGTGATGACATTGCCGCGAGGAGGCCGAGGAACCAGTGTGCAGGTACGGTTCTGCTCAAGACCGTCGAACTCTTCCTGCATTGCCGCAAGCCAGTGAGGATCACGGAGGGCTGCGCGAGCGGACACGGGAAGAGGAGACGACTCTGCGGTGGAGGCGGCGAGGAGGTACTCATCGCGCGAGTACCGGAGGCTCGGACGGTGAACTCCGGTGCGAGCCCGTGTGACAGGGCCAGGCGGCACGACCGGAGCGGTCAGCGAGACGGGCGGCGAAGCTAAGCGAACCGCCCAGTGACGCGGGCGGCGAGGCAACCGGCGAGGCGGCTGGCGACACGGGCGACGAGGCCACCGGCGTCGGGACTGGCGATGCAGCCGACGAAGAGGCCGGTGAGGCGGTGTCCGAGGCGGCCGAGCCAGCAGCACCCGATCCCGCGGCGCCCGAGTCGGGGGCGGCGGGTGAAGGGGGCACCAGCCGCACCGTCGTGGTCCGCCGAGGGTGCAGGCGCCAGCGTGGGGGCGCGAGGACCGCCAAAGCCCGGAGGTGGTCCACGGGCCGAATGCGGTCGTCCACCTGACGGAGTCGCCGAAGGGCCGGCGGTGACGAGGCGACAAGAGGTACCTGCTGCTGAAACGGAAACACCATCGCATCAAAGTAAACGTGTCGGGAGGTGAAAACACGATGGGAGACGGGATCATAGCAGCGGTAGCCCTTAGTGGTTGGTGGGTAGCCGAGAAAGATGCAGGCGATGGAGTGGGGTGCAAGCTTATGAGGCGCAGTAGCTGCGATGCTAGGGTAGCAAAGGCAGCCGGAGATGTGAAGCTCATCATAAGAGGGTAGTGCACCGAAGAGAAGGTGATGAGGTGCAAAGTTTCCACGAGTACGACATGGACGGATGTTAATGAGGAGTGAAGCGGTGGCGAGAGCGTCAGGCCAAAAGCGCGGAGGGGCGGCCAAAGGGGCGGCCGAGCCAGCAGCACCCGATCCCGCGGCGCCCGAGTCGGGGGCGGCGTGTGAAGGGGGGGCGCCAGCCGCACCGTCGTGGTCGGCCGAGGGTGCAGGCGCCGGCGTGGGGGCGCGAGGACCGCCAAAGCCCGGAGGCGGTCCACGGGCCGAATGGGGCCGTCCACCTGACGGAGTGGCCGAAGGGCCGCCGGTGGCCGGCGGTGACGAGGCAACAAGAGGTACCTGCTGCTGAAACGGAAACACCATCTCATCAAAGTAAACGTGTCGGGAGGTGAAAACACGATGGGAGACGGAATCATAGCAGCAGTAGCCCTTAGTGTTAGGTGGGCAGCCGAGAAAGATGCAGGCGACGGATCGGGGTGCAAGCTTATGAGGCGCAGTAGCGGTGATGCTAGGGTAGCAAAGGCAGCCGAAGATGCGATGCTCATCGTAAGAGGGTGGTGCACCGAAGAGAAGGTGATGATGTGCAAAGTTCCCGCGAGTATGACATGGACGGATGTTAATGAGGAGTGAAGCGGTGGCGAGAGCGTCAGGCCAAAAGCGCGGAGGCACATTGGCATGAAAGAGAAGAGTCCGAGCGCAGTCATTGAGAGTGCGAAGGATAAGCTCAGCGCGACCGTTCTGCTGCGAGGTGTACGGGCAAGTGAGACGGAAAGTCGTACCATGTATGGTGAGGAGAGTACGAACAACTAGGTTGTCAAACTCCTTCCTGTTATCTGTCTGCAACGCGAGAATGGGACGACCAAACTGCGTGAGAACATAGGAGTAGAAGGCGGCGAGAGTGGATATAGCATCCGACTTGCGGCGCAACGGGAAGGTCCACACATAATGCGAGAAATCATTAAGTATGACAAGATAATAAAGAAAGCCCGTATTACTGGCAACAGGAGAGGTCCAAACATCACTATGAATTAACTCAAACGAGTACGATGTGACATGAGAAGAAGCACTAAATGGGAGACGAGCATGTTTGCCGAGGCGACATGCATGACACGAGTGATCCTCGTTCTTATTACACGTGAAAGAAAAACTCCGAAGTATATGGCGAAGGGTGGCAGGATTAGGATGACCCAAGCGAGCGTGCCAAAGATCCACTCCGGTGGCGAGAGCGACAGGGGCGGCGGAAGTGGTGGAGGTGGCGGAGTGAACCGGGTAGAGCTCGTCGGGGCTGTCACATCGGTGGAGCACCATCCGCGTGCGAGCGTCCTTAACAGAAAAATCACATTCGTCAAATTCAACGGTAACATGATTTTCACGTGTAAGAGAACAAATAGAAACAAGATTTTTAATAAGCTTAGGAGAAACTAAGACATTAGACAGGGATATTGGAGTGGAGTTAGATGGAAAATATGCATGACCTATGTGGGTGATAGGAAGAGAGGAGCCATCACCGACGGTGATGCAGTTGGAAGTATGGACAAGATAGGAGGTGTGGAGATTACCGGGATAAGCCGCCATGTGAGCGGTGGCTCCGGTGTCCATGTACCAGTCGCCACCGCCGGTGTAGCTGGACGGGGAAGGGGCAGTGTGAAGAGCCGCCAGAAGGGCCGGGTCCCACGGCGCCGGCAGGAGAGTCTGCGGCGGGGACGTCAGGGGCAGCAGCGGCATCCCACCTGGCTGCGGCTGCTGGCCGTAGGGCGCCGCATAGGGCGCCGCATAGGGCTACGGCACGGCGTAGAACGCCTGGTGCCACGGTGGCCGGGCGCCGAGAATACCCGGGGCAGGGGCACGGGGAACCGACATGGAGTAGGCGTGCACAACACCGGTCCATGGGTTCTGGCCGGCGTACCACAGGGCCGGCTGATAGGCCTGCTGCGACGGGCGGGGTGCTCCTCCCTGAGCGCCTACGCCCCTGCTTGCGACCGCCGCGACGGCCGCCGCGACGACCCCCCCCCCCATTGGCCGCCGGCCGGGGCGGCGGGAAGGGAGCGGCCGGGGCGGGCGGGAAACATGGCGGGAAGGCGAGCACCGCCGGCTGGG